AGTCATTTGTATTCTGGGTATATTTCCTTTTAAAATTCTGTGTGCATTTTATTTTTCTTGCCTTTAGTCTTTTTCTAATTGAGAGATGTGTGTGTATATATACATTAAACTTTTGTGATATGAAATGGAAAACATTCCCCCAGTTTATGAGCCTTCTGATATTTCTCCTGGAATTTTTTTCTATGCAGATTCATTTGTTTGTTTTTTAACCTTTTATATAATCCAGTAGTATAAATTTTAAGCAAACATACATCAAATATTAGAATTAAGAAAAGGGCCTAGGGAATAATAAAGACCAAGCAATTGCTATTGAGAGTTAGAGAAAACCGTAAGGCCATTTCAACAGCTGTATTTACCTATTCATCTAATATTTATTGAGTACTTAATTCATGTCAGAAACTGTGCCCAGAAGGGGAAAGATGTGATTATCGGAATCAGATTTAGTCCTTTAAAGTTTACAAGGATGATGTGTCATCAAGTAATCAAAAAATATGTATTAGAAATTTATAATTGGGTAAGACTTTAATGCATTCTCTTCCACGATATAATGATATATAAGGATTTTATTTAGGGAAATGAGTGAAAATTGTAGGGAATTATGGCATATAGATGTAAATGTATTAGCAAAAAGTGGAGAGAAGAGCCATCTAAGTTAAGGTAATAGCCTGTTTCTGTGGGAAGTACTGAGTTTAAGAAACTAAAAGAAGGACATTGTGATTGAAGGATAGAAAAAGCATGATGAAGTGGAGAGGTAGTTGGGGGCCAGATTTTATAGGCCTTGCAGGTAATTATAAGGAGTTTTGAGAGCTGTCATGTTAAGAATAATGAGATGCCATAGAAGGGTTTCTAATAGGGGAGTTGCTGGATGGATGAGAATAGATTAGATGTAGTGTGTAGGGGCTAGATTGGCAGAAACAAGCAGATAACCTACCCGGATGGCTATTGTGGTAGTCTAGGACAAGGGAACATGGTAGATTGCACTTGGCTAGAGAGTGGAGAATCTAAAGGTTTGAAGAACATTTCAAGATTGACTTGCTGGGTTTCTGGTTTCCTTTATAGGCTAAAGAACAATAATCTAGAGTAGGATACCATAGCTGTAAGAAAACCAGGTTTGGTGAGATAATGATGTTTATTTTGGTTGCATAGTGTTTGAAGTGTAGTTGAGGCAAACAAAAGCAGATATCATGTCAGTAGTTGAATAGGCTTAGGTTTTAGCTCCAGATATGAATTGGAAGGTGTCTGTTAATATGGCAGGTAATTAAAGTGGATGGCCTGGGTCAAAAGGATAGAAAGAGGAAAGTAATGGCCTAGAAGTCATTTTTTTAAAATAAACTTGAAGATTTAGGAGCACACACAGTGTGAAGGAACAACCAAAGAAGCTGGAGAAGAAAACTAGGAAAGTATGTCATGATGGATAGAGAAACAGGAGGCATGAGAACAGTATTCAATAATGTTGCCTTGTCATGACAAGTAAAGGCAGACTAATGCCCATTGGATTTGAGGTGACCTTAGAGAGTGATGGGAGTGAAAACCAGATAGAGCAGGGTTGAGGAACAAATGTCTAGAAGAGTGGAGGTAGTATTTATAGGTTTTTCTTTTAAGACACTTGACAGAAGATGAGACAGAAGGACAGTTGCTAGAAAACCATGAAAGGGTCAGCATAGATGGAAGAAGGGATAGATCCATTGTTGTGAAAGGAAGGGTTTCTGTATGTTTTCTTTGTGTGTTCGTACTTTGGAGGCACAACACTCAATCTCATGAAAACATGGAAGGTTGGTGGTTTGAAAAGAAGAAAATATTGAAAATAGACTTTGGGAATAAGATGACCAAGGTGACCACTTGAATCATTGATACCATTTGGGTCATTCAACAGTGGAGTTAACACATTTATAGTTGAATACATTTACTCCATTAGTTTACTTTAGCATCCTTCTCTGTAGAAAATAGATGGTCGGATGCATCCAGAGTTCATGTGGCTTTATGGGTACAAAGAAAAGAAAGAGCAGCAAGAGTGTAGTCAAATAATAGATTGTGGGAGATAATTGACTATGGTTTGGATATAGTTTTGGTGTTTTCCAAGGTTTCATGTGTTATTAATTCCTATTGTGAGGCATTAGAAGAGAAAACTTAATCTGATCACAGCGTTTAAAAGTGGGTCCTTTGGGAACTGATTAGAATTAGATTAATTTATTAGGGTTGAGCTCCCATGGTTGAGTCCTGATGTTTTATATGAAGACGGAGAGACCACACATACACACACACACAGAGACACATACACGAGAGCTTTCTGTCTCTTGATGCATGATGGATGCTGTGTGGTGCCTCATGACTGCCAGCAGCAAGACCATCCACAGATGATTTGAGCCCTTAAATCTCCCAAACTGTGAGCTTTAAATACCCTATTCTTCATAAGTAGCTTGTCTCAGATATTTCATTATATTCATGAACAACTGACTAATCTGTAGTTCCAATCATGAAGAAAGTGAAGAAAAGCAAGGGCTAATGAATTGAGAAGAAATGTCACAGATTAAATTAATAAAAGTTCCCAGGAAGTTGAGGAATGAATGGTCACAGTGGAAGTGCTTGATTTTAGCAAGTAGAAACGAGACCAGATACAGTCAGGGGGGATTCTGCAAAAACCTATCTTTAAAAGTGATGTACTTAAATGCCATCTTTAATTTTGGAAAATCTGTCCAAATCTGACCATGGCAAAGCTTAGCAGAGAGATGTCAAGCAACCCATTTTGGGAAGCAAAACAAGAAGAAGTAGGGCTGTCCTTCTCCTTGGTTGGGCTGATGGAACAGGTCCCAACTAATTAAAAGGTTTTTGGAGTTACTGCCTTTCTCTTAGAAGCTATGAGCCATGATGATTCTTCAGCACTAGGAACTCCAAGACAGCTCCATTCAGTACATGACAACTTACATGACTGATGTTTTTATAGTCCATTTATCATAAAAGGGATTGAGGTCTTGCTCCTCTATGATTATTCATTATCAGAAAGTTTTATGCTGCTATTTTCAAGTACTATTGATACCTTCCTAGTGATGCATCAATATTCTCTCATTTTAACCAGTGCCTTACATTTGTTAGAGTGTGGCAAGAGCTATCTATAATCAGTGACTAGAACAGAGGATGCTAACTGAATGCAGAATCTAGACTAACTTCCTGTGTGTTCACTTATGGGGTTATAAATAGTAATAAACAAAGGCAAATGCGTGGATAAATCTATTGAGAATCACATGAATTCTGTGTCAAGATATCAGTATGCCTATGTATCTGTATTATGTACAAAACCACCTCTTTCCAGTTTATAGTGTGAATTGAGAAGCAAAAGTTCAGTGGGATGCGTAAGAAAACAGAAATGGAGAGATGGATGACTGGGAAGTTGTTGCAAAGGGACTTTTTCCATGATGAAATCCATGAACTCATCATTTAGAGAGTTGTGGGGAATGGGAACTTGTGAAAATGACTGAGTTCATCAAACTCATTTGAGAAAAAGTGGGGAGGGCCTCAACCAGCAACAGCATCCTAAATATTTAAGGTCATGGTCTGTTTTAGCTTTTTCACTGCTATGACTACCAGAACAACTGTAGAGGAGGAAAAGTTTGAGGTCCATTGTGTTTTCAAAGGTCTTAGTCCATAGAAGCCTGGTTCCATTTCTCAGGGCTGGAGGTGAGGCTGAACATCATGGTGGGAGAGGGTGGTGGAGGGAAGCAGCTCATGTCATGTGATCAAAAGACAGACTCACTTGCCAGATACAAATATATATACCAAAGCCACACCCTACCACTTCAGTTAATCCCATCAGAGACCAGCTCTCCGATTAGGCTAAGGCTATAATCCAATCATTTCTCCTCCACACCTTCTTGGATTGTCTCACATGTGAGCTTTTGGGGGGCGGGGGACCACATCTAAATCATAATATGATTTATTGGATATGGAACATGAAAAGCACCAAAATAGTGAGGCCTGGGAAAATGGACTGAAAAAAAAAAAAAAAGCCAGATATTGACAGGTTTCATCTTTCTCAAGGTAAATCCCTTTCAGATACTGGATGCAGGCAGGAAAAAATTGTTTCATCAAACCTAAAGTGATAGCCTCTAGGAAACACTAATCTCTTCTAAGATAACTCTTCTCCAGGTGCTGGCCATGGACCCCCAGCCCCCAAACTCAAATTCCTGAGTGCCCAGACTGACATGCTCACTAAATCACCTACAACCTATAAAAGCCCAGTCTCCTCCTTTGTTCAGTAGCTGGTTTTCCACCAGAAAAGAGGATCCATTCCCGTAGATGTAGTTCTGTTTCTGAATAAAAGCTGAAATGATCCATTGAAGTTTGCATCAGGCCCGGTCTGACACATGGTCCATTGTGTTTTCTAGTTCTGAGTTGGAAATATTTGATTCAGATACTGATGTGGTTTGCTGTGGTTAAAAGATATTATAAAACTAGTAGAGAGACATGTACAATCCAGATGTTTAGACAGTACCTGCTATCTATATAACCCAGTGTAAAATGAAACCTTTTTTTGCATTTATGCATACAGTTCACTAAAAGAATAGGAATTCATATGAATTGCCTGGGGTTCCAATCAAATTTAATGCTGATGATCACCAAAAGTGCAGGTCAGCTTGTGATTATGTTTGGAATCTTTGGAACACAAAAAGCTCTTATGTGCAGACATCTTTGTTTTCCTTTCATTTATCACCTGGAGAATAATGTTTTCTTCCATTGACCAAAGGCAAATAAAATCAAGGCATTGTTTTATAATACCCTAGGAGACAGATTCAAAGTTGCCTGATATTCTTTCTGCATAAACATTTTGAACTTTCTAAGGCAGAAATTGACTATCACTATTGTCTCTGCTTGAAAAATTGGTGAATCTAAATGTCCACATGATTGGGACCAGGTCCTCTGGAAACCCTTGCCTTGGCTGCGTTTTGGGACAGATGTTGGTAAATGTCTTATCATGAGAGGTGATCTGTGCCCTTTCCCATTTGTAGGCTGGTGATGTACATCGAGAGGGACAGCAGAAAGACCACTCCAGGCAAGGAGCAGCAAGGCAGTGGGGAATACCTCTCTAGATGCCTGGATCTTCTCATCCGTCACATCGTGCAGGAACTGCCAACAATCCTCTGTAAATTGTAGTCTTGTCCTTAGGCCCTCTTGCTGCTTACCTTAGCTTTTAGGCACTGTCTGTTTTTACAGGAGAGTGCAATGACACTCTCCTTAAATGTAGTTTCAAGATTTATCTGTCTTTATAATTATTTGGCATTAGTGATATTTTTGAGATGTGAGCAGGCTAAATGTTATATTGAGGTATTATCTGAGGTAATCTGGGAATTTTAGAAATAAACAGAAGGAAACATGTTAATTGCTTAAAATTGGACTTCTATGATTATTTCAGGTAACTTCTCAAAAGTTATCCTTGCCTAGATCTGAAGAAAATAATTTTCTCTTAAGATTAGAGCCATAGCTGAGCACAGTGGCATGCCTATAGTCCTATCTACTCAGGAGGCTGAGGCAGGAGGATCACTCAAAGCCAGCCTCAGCAATTTAGCAACACCCTAAGCAATTTAGTGAGAATTGTCTCTAAATAAAATATTTAAAAAGGGCTGGGGATGTGACTCAGTGGTAAAGTACTCCTGGGTTGAATCCCTGCTTACCCCTCCAACCCCCCAAAAAAGATTAGAGGCATAAATTAAAATTGATAAAAGAACTTGAACATATATAGAATTTAAAAAACTGAAATGTCAAAATCTAATATTAAAGAATTTTGACAGTATTGGTTTAAAGTTCAATGTTTGAAGATGTCTTTGGTTTGAAAAACTATCCTTAAAGAGGTAAAAATATCTGATAATGATTTGTAAAGAATGTTTATTACAATTAAACCACTTTTTTATTTGAAGTTTAAATAAGGAAAATGTACGTGTAGTTGAAATCCCTTTGCATGCTTTTCCAGCAGATGTAGCTATTAACCAAAAGTGTTTAAAATATAGTTTGCTTCAAACTGTTACGATAAAGTGTACTTAAGAAATAGAAATTCAGAACTTCAAAATAATGAAAATATTTTCATGATCAACTGATAATAACTTTTTGCTCTTTACTAAAACATCAGGAGAGGTTTTTTTTTTTTTTTTTTTTTTTTCAGTTGATAGCTGAGTTCAGGGAGGTTGTGGGAACTGATCTCTTTTTACTTCTATATCCTTTGGTTTTTAAAAGTCATGATCCACTATCTGTTCACTTAAAAATTTAAAGTAATTATTCCTGTTTATAAGAGAAATAAGCAATATAGTTGAATTTTGGAAAATACAAAAAGATTTTCTAAAACCAGTGTGTAATAATTATTTGTAAATTCTATTTTTAATTTTAGATGAGAGATTGAGTTAACTGATAGCTTTTATGCAGAATATTACATTCTGTCCCCGGTGGCCATGGTGTCTTCTAAACTCAGTACCTGTGAATAAAAAGAACACAGCTCATACCATTTAGACCCATTATTTGGAAATTAATTAGTAATCAAGCAATGACCATGGGCACCTCCACGTGTGATCCTTTAACCTCTGCACCTGCTCTGGGATGCTTCACAGGTGACATTCTCAACGCCTTGGCTAATGTCTCTGGTCGTAAACACCCATCCACAGTTCAAGCAAAACAGCTGAAGATGTGCCTCCCCCTGATGCCTGTAGTACTTCACCTCGTCACTTCTCAGGTACTGTACCATCATTTTAGGGAAAAGATAATATAAATTGTCTCACTTCTTTGTAAACTGAAGCTGAGAAACATCAATTCAGAAAAACCATTTTTATTTGTGTCTTTCTTGAACAAAATCTGTTCATGTTTTTCGGGATTTAATCTGTGGAAACTCTCATCACACACAGGTATTTCGACCTCAAGTTGTAACAGAAGAGTTTCTTTTCAGTTATGGAACTATTCTTGTGAGTAGCACTTAAGTTTTTCATGTTCTTACTCAAAATGTCTTATCCTTCTGTTTGTGGAATTTGATGTCAATATGAGGTAATTTAAAAATTCTTGTGGCATTTATTTGTCTCCAGGGAAGTGACCTTTTTATATTTTTAATCTGTTGACTGTAATAAAATTTGACATTTGGAGGAAAATACATTCACTCCTGATAATGTATTTTGTTCAGAGATCACCCCAAATAGGGTAAGTTAGTCCTCAGAAATACTTTCATTGATTTTGGTATTAAACATCATGAACAAATTTAAAATAAAATGGTGAACATGGAATGCTAAGAATATGTACTCATTGTTATTCATGTAGGCTTACATTGTCCAATTGTGTTGGAATTTCTCTGAGTTAAACTCAGCTTAGTTTTTTCTTTAATTTTGATGTCATGACATAGGTAGAAATGAAAACTAAATCATTGTACTATCTTTTTGTTTAGGATATAGTTTTGAGTTATCTTTTCCCTTGTCTGTTGTAGTTACAGTGTGTATTGTTGAATAAAATGAGAAAGCTGTACACAAAGGAAAAGCCAAGGTACTTGTCAGATAACATCTCCAGTCTGACTTTGATACGTGTTATCAACTGAACTGAGATTTTCAAAATGCCACAGAAGGATCTAGTTAAAATGAAGTAGGCATCTCAGCTTTATGGTTATTTTGGAATAAAGAAATTACTGCCACCCACAAGTGACAATATCATTTTCTAGAGGTTCATCATATGGTGAAGTATGATGTTTTTAAGTACAAGTGTTGAATGGATATTACTGACAGGAAACAGTGGGTTCTGGCAATGCAGTAGAGGTCCTTTTGTGTTCAATTTCAAATCTTTATCATTGTAGTCCCTTGAAGCCCAAATTCTACAAAGTATGTGGTTTTGGTAGTTCACTGATGAATTTACAAATTATTAATTACAGTTGTCATCTGTAGACCACTATCTTTAACTTGCTTTTTATTGGCTCTTCTTAAGTAGAATATGGGTACCATATTAGCACAATTATAGTTCTAAGTATTTATAATCCTGTTGCACCAGCACATCACTGTCAAGAGTAGTTTTATTCTTTGTAGCTTATTTTAGCATCATGTTTGTTCAGGTACAATTATCCTGTGTTCTTTCTTCTTCCTTTAGTTCTTTTTTCTGCCCACAGTATGTTCTCAAGGAATTAACAAGTGTCTAACCTAAAAGTCTTTATAGGCTTTCAGGTATTATACCTGTTCCTTGCAATAACCGTGTCCAAAGAAAAGGGAGTTGGCCACCTTGAGGAAGGGAGGTGTGGGAGTACTCTTGAGTATTCTGTAGGGTCATCTTAGTACTCACATTTAGGACATGGAAAATAACTTTCCTTGTTCAAACATCTCATCGTGATTTTGAGAAAAAATTTTTAGCACTATTCCCTCCCCCTCCCATTGTAATCTCACCCAAATAAAGGAAATTTAGGGAAATGAAATGGAGATGGATCTTTTGGCTCTGTTCAGGTCATTTTCCTTGTTTGAATCATGGCTAGTTCCAGAATTTTTTTAAATTGTTTTTCTTATTGTATCTTGTTAGCTTTCCCTGTATTTTCACCTTTCTTATACTCAGTGTTGATGGCATTGATGAAATACTACTACAGAGAGTGAGTTATTGATGGAAATTCAGGACCTGGATTTATTTTTTCTTACACTTCTTGTGAATTTATTATGAACTCTTGAGAGTTGGACATTGCTTCTGTGACTTAATTCATAATCTTTTCAAGAAGTCATCAAAACTGTTACTCAAGTGATAATGCCCTATCCATGTCATAAGACAGGGCAACTCATCAGACACCCTACTAGAAGTAAAACCTCTGGAGTTTTCTGCCTTAAAATAATTCTTCTATAATTTTGATTAAGCAAAGAATTCCTAAACATATCTTAAAATTGGGAAGGGGGCATGGGAAGGTTATACAACTGTAAATGTTTTGTAACCCAGTACTCAGCCCAGTGGCTTCAAGCTTTCCAGATCACAGTGTTTCTTTGGGGCTGGTGACATGAGGAGGTAGTCCATTCATGTTTGCATCCATAGCATTGTACTTTGAAGGCCTTATTAGTCCATCTGGAGACAAAAAATATTTTTAATATTTTTAAAAGTAAAAGTGGTAGTTACCATGTAGCAGGTGTGTTATCATTTTATATTTTAAAAATGTGCCTTAATTTGAGGTCTTCATTCGTAGTGTACCTTAAGAGCTGTGTCCAACAGCAACAAGGTGTTGCCAAGCTGCTTCCATTGAAGCAGCTCTGCAGGAGATGCTGACCTGCATGAGGTGGGCGTGGAACGAGCCATCGATGTCCATGTGATGTCCACTATTTCAAGGGTCATAAGGAGCAAGATAGAAAGGGCATTGGAATTGTGCTTCCCACACTGGGTTCAGTTTGCATAAAAGCACCAGAGCACAGATTGCCTGTTTGACCTGAAGGCATTTATCTTTGGGTTTTGTTTTATTTTCATTTTTTTGGGCAGAAACATTCTATACTAGTATATGGAAATATGACTATAGAAACTTGCATTTTGTAGACTGCCCCCCCCCCTTCAAGTGAAACAAGGTTTTGGTCTTCTTATATTTTAGATAGACTACTGTTTGGAAATGATTTAGGAGGGTACTCTTAAACCAATATCAACTTTCAAAGACTCTCGGCTAAAGAGTACTACTTAGCTGTTAATTGCTGTTTTCACTTCTTATTGATAGAAGTGAACAGTCATCATAACTGGGTTCTTCAAGTTTTAGAAGTCAGATCTTTGAGCTGCTTGGAGGAGTATGCATACCATACTTGTTTTGGGGCCTCCGTTGAACTGGGCTTGGAAATGGGAGATAATGACAGGAAATAGGGAACTCACCATGTATATTAACCTAATGTTCATTGCATTTCTTGGTTCTTTTGAAAACACGCTTGATTAACGAGCTAAAGAATAGGATTTTGTTGTATTTTCTTCAGTTCTGGCCTTATCAGTTTATAAAAGTACATAATGTGTTAATTATGTATTTCTATCAAAAAAGGACACACTTTGTGACCTCTAGATTTTTTATTATCTGTGAATGTTAGTTTGGTAGCTTTTGGCTTCTGTTATAGGTAAAGCAGAGATGGAGCACTCTTTTATTTTTATTTTTTTATTTTATTTTGTTTTAAATTTTTTTAGTTGTAGATGGACACACAACTTTGTTTATTTATTTTTATGTGGTGCTGATGATCGAACCCAGGCAAGCACTCTACCACTGAGCCACAGCTTCAGCCCTCTTATATTTTTAAAAGAGATAATACTGCTTGCACTATTCTCACCCTGAATACATGACTGTTTGTCTTAATTGAGCTCTCCCTCAGACTTGTACATCTAGTTTATTTTCTTAGTTTATATACTTTGACACTCACCTTGATAACTGTTCATATCTTCTCTCCTCGAATCTCCAATGCCTCCTAACCCATTCGCTTACCTCATTATGTTCTGTTACACTAAGAATGAAGAAGTATATTAAAAAACATTAAAATTGGTAAATTAATGAAATATCCAGTAGGAATACTTTTAATTAAATAGGGGAAGTATAAAGAAGTTATAAGAAACCCATAATATCATCATGTTGATAACCCTCATTGACATTGAAAAAAGAAAAAGAAATATGAGCTTAGAAAATCTCAAGAGTACAGAAAAGGAAAAGTGGCAGCACATCTCCCATCTCGGGCTCTGAAAGAACCTGTCCTTTCTGTGATCTCCTTCTGGAAAATTAATGTTCATGTCCCCAGCATCTGTATATTATCTACATATTCTCTCAAAGTAATTACATGAGAAGGATCATGGCATTGACAATACTATGTGCCTGTCATCTGCAGTAAGACTTAGACCATTAAGTAGGTTTATTGTAGCCAAAGGTACCTCCAAATATTTTCTTTAGCATCAAATTCATATTTATTTACAAAAGTAATGTCCCATTTTGGAATTTCTTGAAACTATTTTAGCCAGATTATTATTATGAAAAGCTTATAATTATCACCCTTTTAAAATTTATATTTTAGTCTGTTTTTTCTTTGTTTATTCATAGATAGAAAAAGAGAATTCAGAATATCTGGAATTTTCAGTTTTCATTTCCTAGATTGTGATTTTCTTTATAACCTGGAAAGTAAATACACCTTTAAGATTTTTTTTCTTGTTTTAAGAGTAATTTATGCTTATTCATTTAAAATATAAAGTGCAGCCTTGTTAGAGAAAATGTGGAAAATTATAGTGAAATATGAAAAAAATAAAATCACAACTCCACACCCAGAAATAACCACTGTTAATATGTTGTTTCCTTAATATTTTATTCATATGTATGCATTTGTTTATAGAAGAAATTATACCTATGACATATGTGATTGAGACTGTATATATACACACAGTTTATGTGTGTGTGTGTGTATGTATGGGTTTCTATTCTACTTTTTGAATTTAACATAAGTATTTCAATACTTATCCATATTTTTTTTAAAAATATTCTTTTTCTGAGCATTTTAATGGCTACATACTTTTCCATTTGTATGAAGGGGATGCAGTTTGATTAAATGCCCAAACTAACAATACACTATTTAGGAATATGTGAATATGCAGCAAAATGTTTAAAAACATGAATGATATCAGTTGGGCGAGTGGGGGAGAACCAGGCGGGTGGGCTGGAAGAGCTCTTGCAAGGAATGGGGTGTCATTCTTACTAATATCCCAGGTACTGAGAGTAAGTGTGGCATGTTGCTGGAAATTATTATGGATCAGTTGGATCATTCTTACATTTTCAGTTGCTAATGAATGTATTCCAGCATTAAATCTCATTGATGATTATTTGTATATTTAAAAATAATTATGGGCTGGGGTTGAAGCTCAGTGGTAGAGCATTTGCCCAGTATATCTGGGGCACTAGGTTAAATCCTCAGCACCACATAAAATAAATAAAGGTATTGTGTCCATCTTCAACTAAAAAATTTCTTTAAAAAATATAGTTTATAACTTTTAGTATTAAAGTCATGTTTTAAAACTATGATTATAGTGTTCATAACATGTAGAGTGTATTTAATATTTTTTAAGAGTTTCATTAAAAATGGTAGATACAGTTTTGGGAGAAATATTAACTACCTAAATTTTTTTCAAAGTTATTTTTAAATTTACATTTATTAAAAATTTTTATTTTCTATTTTTCAGAGTCATATTAAATCAATCGACTCGGGAGAAACTAACATAGATGGAGCCATAGGTGAGTAGACCATGCAACAGACAATGTTTGAGGCATTTCGATATTGAGATTTAGAAAGTAAACACCTTTACTAATAATGATTAAATGTGTTCCTAGGGCTGACAGCATCAGAAGAATTTATCAAGGTCACATTGTCGGCTTTTGAAGCAATAATTCAATATCCTGTTTTGTTGAAAGATTATCGCTCTACGGTCAGTTTTTTCGACTTTTGAAAAAAGCTCTTTTTCATTTCCTTGGTAATTCTGTATAAAGGGACCTGCTTTCCATATTCTTAGCTCAGATGGGTTCCTCGTATGAAGTAACCATCTCGAAAAGCAGGATGGGTCTAGGAAATCTGTTCCTTTTGTTGTTGACTTTCATGCTCTTCTGGTTACATCTTTATTCCAGCCTCTTCTTTCTCCTTGCCTGATTATTTGTTGTAACCAAATATAAACCTTTGCAAGAGGGTTTCTCAATCTGGGCACTTGGGCATTTTGGGATGGACAGTTTGTTGTGGAACCACCCTGTGCATTGTAGGATGTTTAGCAGCCTCTGCTCACTCGGGGCAGTAGCTTTCACTCCATGGTTCCTCCGATGTGACCACCACAAATGTCTCTAAATCCTGACCTACGTCCTCTCAGTGGCAAAATTGCCCCCATTTAAGAACCCCTTTATCCTTAGGGAAATCCTTAGGAGGCTGACTTTGAACTCCTGTTCCTTCTGCCTCAGCCTCCTGAGCACTGGGATTACAGGCATGCACCATGGCACCTGGCTGTAATCTTTACTCTCCATTTTTCTTCTTATTTTAGCTCTAGGAAGGAAGTGTGGAATCATGGCAAATATGAAACATATAAAGTTCAATGAAGTTTTTTAACTCTCTTTTTGGGGGGTGTGATTTAAGTTAAAGCTGAGAATCAAGTTTTATTATATTCACATTTAATATCTTAACTGCTCTGAGTGATCCTTCAGTATTAATTGATTGCCTTGCCTTACTAAGGACTACTTCAGGCACAGGGCAAGGATAGAAATGAAACAAAGTAGTAACCCCTATAGAACCTATAAGTAGAGAGAGAGAGATGATAAATATTCAAATAAATTTTAATACACCAAGTGGTAGGATGTCCTATGAAGGAAACATGAATGTGTAAGTGGGTGAGTTAAGTGATTTTTATAAGTAGTTATTTTTCTCTTCAATAATGGATGTTTGGATAGACAAGTGATAAATCTGGGGGAAGAAGTTTCTAGGCAGAGGCAGTAGCAAGTATAAAAACACTCAGGAGGAGCTGTGCCCAAGGACTAGTAACTTGGTTGATGATTCAGCTGGGCTAGAGCAGCCTTCTAGAAGATAAGAGCAGACCAGTGGGGCTGGGAGAAGTAATATGTTGCATAAGGAACTTGGCCATGGTAACAGTTTTGGAGATTAAGGATTATTGATCTTGGTTCTTGAACGGTCCCATTGCTATTTCACAAAGATTTCAGGTGTGGTTTTGAGAAGTAGGAGTAACAATTTCCTGTGGTTTCAGGTTAAATTTTTGATTGGTGTATAGTATAGTTCCATAGTATGAATATGTGTATACAAACATGTTAAAATATCCTTGCCACTCTGGATAGGCATTATGTTACTTCTAGTTTTGGGAACTTATCCATGGTATTTCGTGATTGTTATGTATTTTGGTGTACTTACGCACATGTTATTTCTAGGATACATACTCAGTGGTTATGGGGTACATGTGAATTCAGTTCTCCTTATGGGTGGTCATTCACTTTCAGCAGCATAGTACCTGGTGCTTCTCATCCTGCCTAACTCTGGTTATTTCAGACTTTTAAACAGATCTGTATAGTATTATTTCACCATAGCTTTAATTTTTCTTCAGGACTTAATGAAGCCTTTTAACATATTTAGTGACCATTTGGATAAACGTTAGTGAAGTATTCATCCAAGTATTCTCTTGAGTTGGCCTTTTATCATGAAATCCTTTATACTTTCTGATGATAATTATACTAACATCATACTAGACCTCTGAAGATTATTGCTTTTGTCAGGTTTTGTAAGGGGGGGAAAAAAGGGACATGACAGGGCTGAGGTTGTGGCTCAGTGGTAGTGCACTTGCCTAGTATGTGTGAGGCACTGGGTTTGATTCTCAGCACCACAGATAAATAAACAAATAAACTAAAGATCCACCAACAATTATAATTAAAAAATATTTAAAAATAGACATGACAGCGGAAGGGAAGGGACTTGGGAGACTGGGATGAGGAATAAGAGAGGGCAGTGGAGTGAATACAATCGGAGGATGTTATGTGTGTGAAACTGTCACCATGAAACTCATTTTATTGTACGATTAATATGTGCTAATAATTATGATAAAAATAGGGGTGTATCCTCTCTTTTTATATCCTTTAAGAGTGGGAATTATTTCATTCTCTAATATTACTAGCATTTTCCTGTGAAGCTATTAAGACATTTGTTTTAAGGGAAGAAGAGGGTCATCTTTATAGAATAGTTTTCTCTTAATTCAATTTTTTTCTCTATTTAGTTTTTTAAAGTACTTTTAAATTGTCAGTGGACCTTTTATTTTATTTATTCATTTATATGCAGCACTGAGGATTGAAACCAGGGCCTCTCACATGCCAGGCAAGTGCTCCACCACTGAGCCACAACTCTAGCCCCTCTATTTAATTTTGTTTCTCTATTTTTTAATATGGTTTTAAAAATTTATTGGCATGAAGAGATTCATATTTTCTTCCTGCCTTTAGTGGCTGTGTGATCTAGTATCACGTGTTTTTTAATATATATTTTTTCCCTGAACAAGCTAACTAGAGTTTTGTTAGCTTTATTAACTTTATCCAAGAGCCACTTTTCAGTTTTGCCAGTCTCCTCTTATGTTTCTATTTCATATTTCTGCTCTAATAATCCTTATTTCTTTTTTCTTTAGGTCTTTTATTCATTATTTTTCTGATAAATATTTAGATTATTTTCAATTGCATTAAAGATAGTTTTTTTGGATGAATATAATAAAATTTTATTGATTAAAATATCAACTGTAGGCATTATTTATGGAATGCTTGTTATTTCCAAGCCACTATATTAAATTAAGGCAGGGACTGCTTAAGGGTACGGAAATCGATCACATGCAGTCAGTGATAGAGCCTGGCTCAAGAGTCCATTCTCTAGTTAAAGTTACAGCTTGCTCAAATTCTCCCCTCCTCCACAACTCTCATTTTTCTTCAGTTATGGTTCCAAACTCTTTGCTCCTCAACATACTAGACATATTTTCATAACTAATTAGCACAAACCACTTCCTTCTTCCACTCATAATTTTTTAAAAAATGTTTTTAGTTGTCAAGGGACCTTCAACCTATTTATTTATTTATTTATTTATTTATTTATTTATTTATTTATTTATCTATTTATTTATTTATTTATTTATTTAATGCAGTGCTGAGAATTGAACGCAGTGCCTCACACATGCTAGACAAGTTCTCCACCACTGACCTACAACCCCAGCACCCCACAGCCCCATTTCTTTTTTATTTTGCAACTCTATAATAGCTGTTTTCTTGTTAAATATTCTTTTTATTTATTTTTTATTCTAATTTGTTATATATGACAGCAGAATGCAGTACAATTCATGTTACACACATAGAGCAAAAATTTTCATATCTGGTTGTACACAAACCATATTCACACCATTCGTGCCTTCATACATGTACTTAGGGTAATGATGAACATATCATGTCACCAAAAGATGGTTTCTTTTTAAATACTGTTCTTGCAGCATCTCATAAGCTTTGATATAGAATTTTTGTCATCTTTTGGTTAAGATATTTTCTAAAAAAATTTTTTTCCTTGACTCATGGTAGGTTTGCATATAAAATATACTTATATATTTTAAAATTTTCAAGTATATGGGTGCTTTATAGTTATTTCTATATTTGATTTCCATCTTAATTATTTTGAAGTTTGGAAATATACTCTGTGGTTTCAATTTGTTTGTATTTTTAAAGACGTTATAGCCCATCCTATTTTTTTGTAGATATTTTGTATGAGAAGAATGGGTACTTTACAGGTATTCAGTGCAATATTCAATATATGACTATTAGGTTATATTTATTGATTATCTTGTTTAAATCCTTCCTCTCTGTTTTCAGATTGTTGTCACTGTGAATAAAATATCTGAAACAACTTAGATAAGGAAAGATTCAACTCCTAGTTTCAGAGGTTTCAGTGTGTGGTCAGCTGGCTCCATTGCTGTGAGGCTGAGATGGGACAGAAACTTCCTGACAGAGGGTACAGTGGAGGAAAGCTCCTCACCTCACACAGCCAGAAAGCAGAGAGGGCACGAGGGAGGAAGGTTTCTAGGATGAAATATACCCTTTAAGGCATATCCCCAGTGACCCCACCTCCTACAATTTCCACCACCTTCTAATAGCACCATCAACTAGAGACCAAACCTTCAACACCTGAGCCTTTGAGAATATTCCAGATGCAAACTCTAACACTCTCCTTACTAATGTTGATCTGCTTATGTTATAAACTTTTAAGAGAAGTGTATATAAATCTCATTACTATTATTTCTTCTTATAGTTGTGAAAGATTTTGTTTTATATATTTTGAAGTCACATTAATTGTATACAAATATGCAATTATGTCATCTTTTATAGTTGCAAATGACTTCCTTGATCTCTACTGATGTATTTTATCATAAGTCTATTTTGTCCCATCCTAATATAAACATACAAGCTTTCTTTTGGTTAATATTTGCTTGATAGTTCCTGTGTCATTTTACTTCCAACATTTCTTTATTTTTATATCTATATACATTTTATATAATTTTTAAAAAGTTAATTCATATAAATGTTGACTTATAACCGAGCATATACTCCATTTACACAGTGCGATTATCAATATATTTGGATTAATTCTACTGTCTTCTTTCACACTTTTGCCATAAATGTTTTCTTTTGTCCCACCTCTACTTTCTAGTCCTATTGACGTTTCCCGCCCCCCATGTAAGGTGGTATTTATACACTGTTATTTTACCTCTTACCCTAAAATTAATATCATATATGTGAACTTATTAAAACTTAAACTTGAAACTTATTTTCCTTAATTAATACAACTCAATCTATTTACCTCCATTTAGTTCCCTCATGATACTTATGTTATTGTTGCATTTCCAAGTTTGTTTCAAACACTCTCAACAAACCT